AAAAAAAAAAAAAAAAAAAAAACATAATTTTTAAACTTTAAACTCAAAATGTCCCCACAAATTCCAAATCAGCCAATCAAAATTCGACACCCTTTGCCCTCTCTCTCTCTCTTCATTATGTGCCTTGTTCTTCTCCCATACATCTCGATGCCAGCGGCAAATCCAATCACTGTTTTTCCTCTTCTCTGTTTGATTTCTTTTTGAAAATACCCATCTTGTTATTGGTTAATTTGAGTGTCTGGATTTGACTCTGTTCTTCCTCTGTTTCAATTCATGCGATCTGTGTTGGATTCTTCAGATTCACTGCATTTCCTCAACGGGGTTCTTTCGGGTTTTCGATTTTCTTCAACTTCTATGTGTTTTAATCTGTGAGTTGTTCTAAATTGGGCTGATGAAACGAGGAATTGGGATTTGAGTTGACATCAAGTATCAGTGAGGCTTGCTGCATTTTAAAACGAATATCTAAACCAACCAAGTTTGGGCTGTGTATTAGTTTGTCTGAAATTTGAACATGGGCCTGAGTTTGGTGTGGAATGACGTATTGTCATCAGCTTCATAGTTTTAAAACGTATCTGATAGGAGCGATTCCTACACGTTTATAAGGAATGATCTGTTTCTATACCAGTTCCAACTGATGTGAGATCACAATCCACACTTTGTGAGTTCATTTGGTTTAGTTTAGTCAGATGTCCATTGAGATATCGCTATCGACATAAACACTGGAAACGTACCCAACACAATCATTATCCATTTTACTTGGAGACTTTGAACCAACGTAGAGGGGGAAGGCTTTTGGGGTTTAAATGACGATGGAAATGACCTTTACTCTCACAAAACCTTATCCAATATCATGCGAGAAATGGATAAGGTTTGCTGGTTTTTCTGCTCATCCCCATCTCTTATTGTCGGATTGTCTTTGATACTTCTTCTTCTTCTTCTTCTTCTTCTTCTTCTTCTTCTTCTTCTTCTTGTTCCTCAGTTCCCCATGGCTACATTTCTTCATTTCCAAACTTCAGGGTTCCCTTAGCTAAGCTCTTAGCTGCTTCAAGTTGTCACCTTTTGGTCGCAGCTGTCTCTCCTTTAGCCAGTTCATTGCTTCTCAATAATGCCCCATTCCACACCCAATCACATAAAGAAATAGCTGTGGAAATTTCGATTCTGATTATGATTATGAATTTGGAGTTGTGTCTGGTTGTTGGTCCTCAAAGTATGGCGACACACCCACCTTGTCCACCCCGAAACTAAAACCTTAATTACAAACATCACAAAACAAACACACACACACACACCGCCATCTGGGGTCTCATTTAATGGGGTTTTTGTTTCCTTATTCATGGCTGTACTTGTTGCCCCTCCAAACCACAACTCAAACTAAATGTCACTCCCCCAATACCCCAACTTATCCGTTTTTTAGCTCCTGATTTTGACATCATATCTTACTCCAATATCCTATATTAACGATTCAAGTAAATCATCCGTACATTTGATTAAATATTATAAGTTGACAACCTCTTTCCGTGATTGTCATGTTTTTTTTTTTTTTTTATATAATCTCTTCTTTTACTAAAATACACGTAAATACATCAAAAACCAACGCGAATTTGAACCATAAAAAAATGTATTTTTTATTTTATAATACAATCTTCATGATCATTAATTGTTTATAAATTATTATGCATATATAAATTTAACATATTCTATAATGAATGGAAGAAACAAATTGCAAATAATTGAGATTCTTTATTCCTACTCATTAACCTTCTTTTTTTTTTTGGGGCAAAGGATTCGCACTTATTAAGGTCAAAATTAAAATATATTCAGATTCATGCACCATAGACGATATAATCATATATAGGCATATTATTCAAATGATTAAGTTGTTAATTAATTAATCAGCATCTTTCTCAATTACTTAATTCACCAGAAAAAAGGAAAGTTAGTGGTCGGAGTTAGTTGATCTCCATTTTTGTGGAAAACTATGAATTAATATAATAAACCCATTAATAATTTAATTATGATAATTTTGAACGAGATATAAAAACTCGAAAGGATCTCTCCTTTTGAATTCGTGGAGGTATTTAAATTACCATTTTTCTCTCCCTCCCATTATGTTTTGTCTCCACTTATTTTATATCCAATTACATAACCGAAACCATTCCATACCAATTTAATCTACGATATGAGTTCAAAGCTAACAGTACGATCAAAATCTATGCCACTTAACGGTTAATGATTTTATAAATTATCCGACGGTGAAGAGACAAGAGACAAGGGATGTGTTATTGGTTTAGATGCATGAACAAAAACATTAAAGGGTGGTATAGTAATGTTTTTGACTTGTGTCTTTTCAACGTAGGCCTCTGTGTCTTTTGGTTTTGTGCTATCCATATTTTTTATTTTATATAAATTATTATTATTTGATAAAGATAAATATTGACCAATGATTAATTAATTAAAAAAAAAAGGTAGTTAGATATGCTTAGAAGCATTAGCCATTTAATAAATAGTAATGGGAAAGCAGAGAGAAACTAACAGTAAACACCATCATTTCAACGTTTGCAACTTTCTTCACATTTTTTTAACTTTTGGTTTGTAAACGCGAAAGGGTAATCATTATTAAGCGTTGTTTCGAAGAAAAAGAGGCAAAAACGACAATGTTGATCCCATTTTAGTAAAAACTATGTTTTTTAAAACTTTACTTTTAATGCATTTAGTAGTAAAAAATTAGAAGACATTTGAATGTGATGCTACACATCCAACGTTGTTAGACGAACACAAACACAACTCTCCATAATGGTATGATGTTGTCCATTTTGAACATAAGTTATCGTGGCTTTGCTTTGGGCTTCCCCCTCGTGCTAATGGAGAAAGTATTCATTGATTATAAATTCATGATCATTACTTAAATGAGCCGATGTGGAACTTTTATCATCTAACAACTGTTTCAATACGTGGCCATGTCAACGAACCAATCATACACTAATAACAATAATAGGTGGCCAAAGTGCATGAATGAGCCACTTCCCTTAATTCCTATATATACTCATTTTTCGCTCCCTCTCCCCTTCCAATCCAAACCATAAGTTTAGGCAAAATCAAAACATATATTCATTGAAACATGCCTTCTTCTTCTTCTTCTTCTTCTTCTTCCATTTCCATCGTCTCAAAATGCTCTGTTTTTCCTTATCAACCTTCCTCGTTGAACTCTGTTAAGCTTAAGCTCTCTGTTTCTGATCTTCCCATGCTCTCTTGCCACTATATTCAAAAGGGTGTTCTTTTATCTTCCCCTCCTTACTCCCTTGCTGATTTCGTCTCCTTTCTCAAGCTATCTCTCTCCGCCACTCTCTCCCATTTCCCTCCTCTCGCCGGCCGTTTCTCCACCGATGCTGACGGCTATGTTTACATCCTCTGCAATGATGCTGGGGTTGAATTTATCGAGGCTAAGGCTAAACATCTCACCCTCCATGCCCTTCTTTCCCCTCTTGATCTTCCGGTTTACTTCAAGGATTTTTTTTACTTTGATCGGACTATTAGCTACTCCGGCCACTCCAACCCCTTACTCGCTGTTCAGGTAATAAAATTGACATTTCTGCGATCACAGAATCTCATGGTTTGATGACTAATTCTGTAAATTTAATCTTATTAGGTGACAGAGTTGGCGGATGGTGTGTTTGTTGGGTGTACTGTCAATCACGCCGTCACCGACGGGACTTCGTTCTGGCATTTCTTCAACACATTTGCTGAAATTTGCAAAGGGACTAAAAAGATCTCGAATTCGCCGGATTTTAGTAGAAACACTGTTTTCAACTCGCCGGTGCCGCTGAAGTTTCCCGAAGGTGGGCCGGTGGTGACGTTTAACGGCGACGAGCCATTGAGAGAGAGGATTTTCCACTTCACACGAGAATCCATTCTGAAGCTGAAGCTGAGGGCCAACGTCAACAACCAGGTCACCGGAAGGAAACCGGTCAACGGATTTTACGACGCCGGCAAGATTTTGGGGAAACAGGGGAATGACAGTTGGAAAACGGTAGACGGGAACAACGGGACTAATAACGAGGGGAACATAACGTCCGTTTTGGAAAATTTGATTAAAACGAATGTCCCGAGTCGGACGGCGGAGATTTCGTCTTTCCAATCGTTATGCGCGCATCTGTGGCGCTCAGTGACACGTGCGAGAAAATTAGACGAGTCCAAAACGACGACGTTTCGCATGGCGGTTAACTGCCGCCACCGACTGAATCCACGGATGGATCCGTACTATTTCGGAAACGCGATACAGAGTATTCCGACGGTGGCGCCGGTCGGAGAGCTTCTGTCGAACGATCTCCGGTGGTGCGCCGATCTGCTGCATAAAAACGTGGTGACGCACGACGACGCCACCGTCCGCCGGGGAATCGCAGATTGGGAGAGCCAACCACGGCTGTTCCCGCTGGGGAACTCTGACGGTGCATCAATCACCATGGGCAGCTCGCCAAGATTTCCAATGTACGACAACGATTTCGGGTGGGGCCGTCCAATCGCCGTCAGGAGCGGCAAAGCCAACAAATTCGACGGTAAGATCTCCGCCTTCCCCGGGCGAGAAGGAAACGGCAGCGTCGATCTCGAAATCGTCCTCTCGCCAGAAACAATGGCTGGTCTGGAGCGGGACCCAGATTTTATGCAGTACGTCTCAACACCGGTATGATTGGTCCACCCAAGTGCGGGGCCCGCAAAGTAAAAATCTCTTTCAACGAATTAATTACTTTTTATGGTAAAAGTAAAAAGAAAAAAAAGAATAGCCATATATATATTTCAGAATCGTCTCTCGAAAGGTAAAAAAGTAAAACTGAGAGGAGGCGTGGAATTTGATGAAGTCATGAAGACAAAGAAAACGGCGACGTTTTGGCTATGGTTTTTTTATAAAACGCCTATTATGTTTATGATCAGCTATATATAACTTCCCCACGCCGTCGTGAAAAAAAGGATTCAAGATGGTTTCTAGTGTTGCTATGATTAATGGGATGATGTGGATTCTTAGTCTTAGTAATGGGAGCAATAACCAAAAATGGCGTGAACAAAGCTGAGTTTGAAATGAATATGGTGTCGGAATTATAATGTCGTGCAAAGTTTAGAGCAACATATCAAATTTCATCATTCAAAATCAATATCTTCATGTTCTTCATGTTCTTCATGTTCTTCATGTTCTTCATGTTCTTCATGTTCTTAGTTGGTGGCCAAAACGCCTGTTTATATGATGTGAACAACAAAGTTGACCATTTCTTTTCTGGTTTAATGAATATATACACAATGAATCTTATAGTATATGCCAAACAATCAAGCGGATGCTTCCTTCTGCTACTGAAACCAAGCTGCCACAGAAAAATGAAGAACAGGTGTAGCATTTCACTGATAACTCACTTCTGGGGATGGAAAAATCCGTTTAAACACCCATTGAAATGGTCTTAGAAACTGTGCTCTTTTCTTGCGCCAGAACCATATGGCTGCGTTGTATTGTTCGTTGCGGATTGTTCGAGTTGCAGCTTTCCAGTCGTATTTCTCCATCTCCGTTCGAGCTGCTTTCCCCATGGTTTCCCTCAGTTCGCGATTCTCCAACAGAGGCTTCAGCTTGCTTAAGCAGTCATCGATGTCTCCCGGGGTGTAAAGGTGCCCAATTTTGCCATCTAGTTCAGGAGGGATTATATCGGGAACTCCACCGGCACGAGCTCCGATCACAGGGATCCCAGAGGACATAGCTTCCAATACGACAAGTCCTAACGTCTCCGATTCAGAAGGCATTACAAATACGTCACCACTAGCATAAGCCTGAGATAGCTCTTCCCCTGATAACATCCCTGTAAATACTGCAGGCATCCCACTGAACATCTTTTCTAGCTCCTCCCTGTCGTGAAGGAAAACACATCAAACAATTACAAACAAAGTATCGCTCAATCCTGCCTATAGCATTTGGTTTTTCAGAATGATTTAGTTCTTGATATGCTAATTTAGATAATAAGCTCACTACGGTTGTCAAATCCTAGAACAGATACCTGTACGGTCCATCTCCAACGATCGCGATTCTTGCTTCGGGGAGTCTATCCATGATCCTATCATATTGATGGAACAAATGTAAGAACAGCTACACATTTTTATGAGGATCATACATGACCAAAGGTGGAAGGATGAATAAGAAGTTGGTGCACAATTCAGGCTCCATTTCATACCTAGACCATGGTGCAGAGGGTTAAGGAAGCTAACCATATTTCATACCTTTTGAGGAAATCCAAGCTCTTCTCAACTCCAATTCTTCCAACATGAACAATCAGTGGTTTATCAGGCTCTCCGCCACTGTTGGACAACGCCCATCATGTTAAAGGAGATGATCTTTTGAGTTACATTATTTAAGAAATAAATGTGAGGGAATGTTACCTAAGTTTCCATCTCATTACATGCGAGCGGAAGCGAGGATGAAAGCTTACAGAATCTACACCTTTATTCCAAAGTCGAATCTTATTAGCTGCAAAAAAGAGAAATCGAGTAAATACCGCTGATATAACTTGCTTATGAATATATGCTAGAGCCCACCGCTAGCAAATATTGTCCTCTTTGGGCTTTTACTTTCGGGTTTTCTCTCAAGGTTTTTAAAACACGTCTACCAAGGGGAGGTTTCCACATCCTTATAAAAAAAATGTTTTGTTTCTCTCTCCAATCGATATGTGATCGCACAATCCACCCCCCTTTAGGATCCAACGTCCTCGCTGGTACTCGTTCTCCTTTCTAATCGATGTAGGATCTCACAATAAATACCACTGATATAACTTGCTCGTGAATATATGCTCTAAGGTAAATAAAACACAAAAATATGTCAAACTAAATCTACCACTTTCTTATACACATTATAATCAATGGAAATCTACACTTAGTTGGTGCACTATTTCAAATCACCTGCTGTCACTCTTTCAGCTTCAAGATCCTTGCCAATGGCAGCAGATGGAACCAAAGTAAGATCAGCAGCTCCATGGAGGAATTCTAAAAAGAAAGACTGAATTCTAAATAGTGATCCTTAATATTCAAATTCATATGATGGAACAGAATAGATCTTCGTTTTTATCAGTTCAACAACATAATAGAATAAATCGTCGCGTACTTATAACGAGCCACATGGGTTTGACCAACCAACTAAATGTATATCTTGGAATGTATCTGCACATCAGAAAAGACAGATATATGGTAATCTAAACCTGGATACAATAAACAACAAGATCGACTCGTACGCAACAGTTCTCGGCTCAACAAACCTCGTAACTTGTTAACGATAATAGATTGCAATACGTCCAATCGTAAAAAGTCCCAGAAAAGAACTTACACAGGTACATGAGTATGGTATGACATAACTAGCGGTACACTTAATAGTTTTGCAATAATCAGAGCTCCAAACACCTAAAAACGAATCGAGTTGGACAACGGTCAATCAGCTTGCTCAATTTGATGACTAAATTCAAGAACAAAATATAATGAGATGATTTTTTTTGACTTGCCATTATCCCTGGTGATGATGCGTGTATGATGTCGGGTTTAAACCGAGAAACTTCCGAAATTATTCTTGGACTAAGTGCTAGAGAAAGAGGCACCTTCTGATACAAAGGGCATGGAAAGCTGCCAATAGTTAAAGATAAGTTGAGCAAACAAGAGAGGATGATAGGTTACTGAATGTTATTATCATCTGACATGAACTCCCAAACTTACCTTCGTGATCCAATTATTTTAGCACCATAAAACTCCTCAGGTACACCTTCATGAGTTGTCACAACCATCACCTAAGTAAGTTGCATAAAAATGTCAACTTCTCTATTGCTAAAAAGCAATTGATAGAACACACTCAAGCTTGTTGCAATAAAGAGTTTAAGATGGATTAAAACGGCTATCAAATGCTAAGACAGGAACACGAAAGGGATTAAATTAAACCTCGTCGCCCATTTCGCGTAGATAGCGAATGAAGTTCTGGAAGCGATTTTTGTATCCCGACACGTATCTGTAAAACCAACAATGGAAGGTAACTATCAGTGATTCAACACTTATGAGTATAGTTCACAAACAACCCAATACACATGAGGAATAGGGAGTAGATGCAAAATTTGACAGAATATCAGTGCAAGAACAACTAATGAGACATGTTTAAGGTTTTGGTGACATCAAAGACTGCGATGGATAGAGAAACAGTGATTTAAGTATAGATCAATGCAGCTAATTGTTGTAGTAAAACTACAAAGTGGCTTTCTATATCAAAAGCGGAATCAATGAAGTTAGAAATAAACCCTTCAAGAAGAGGCTAAACCCTCATTTGACATCAAGCATATAGCAGCTCCTAGATGCTATATAGCCGTGCAAGACAGACAAGAGCAGCTGAAGTAAAATCATAAGATCCGATTCCCAGTAACATATATTAGAGAGTACCAAATGGAAAGCAGCAAAATAAAGAGAAGGCCAAGAGAATAGGCAACACTAGAAATTACAAGTTGTTTAAGCATAGAAAGAAAGACTCACGCAAAGGGAGAAGGCTCCACAAAGAGAGCAATACGACGAGGTTTGGAAATGGTATCGGGGTCAAACAAAGGAGGGCTATCTTCCTCTCCATCTTCACCTCTGACTTCAGCAATAGTCATTCTGTTAGCCTTAACACTAAGAATCCCACTTCCCCTTTTCCTCAATCGAACAATTTCACAAAACAAACTTCTGGGTTTTGAAGTTGAAGATCTGGAATGATGGAATCCCAAAGAAGAAGGGGGTTCGTAGAAGGAAGTGGTGGTTGCTGCGGCGGCGGAAGTGGAAAGAGGGGGAGGAAAAAGAGAGAGATTTATAGAGAGAAAAGTAGTGGTCATATTGGAAAGGAGTTTGCCGGCATATAATATAGTAGGTGCAGTGTCTGAGTTGGGATTTGTGGGAATTGAAGAATTTTTAGCTGTCTGATGCGTTTGTAAAGTTGGGTAACAAAGCAAGCAATCGAAAATCAGGGTCCGCCAGAAAGCTCGTCCCGTGGTATTGAACAGTATCTGGGAAGGAATTGAGGAGACTCCTTTTATGGATATTCCACTTCTGATTTTTTGGTTCGGTTCGGTTGGGTTTGTGGAATCAACCAAAGGTTCTCTCAGCATATGCTTTTTCAGTCTCTGATTTCTAATAATTTCAAATTTGTATTCTTCACTTCATCCCCTTTTCCTCTAATTACGATTATCATGTGTTTATGTTCATATCATGATTACGATTAGGGGATAATACAGAATCTTCGTACATTCTAAACAAGGTGAGAAAACTCAACGCACACTCATCCAAATGGTTTGAATTTTCTATTTTGCTTCTTAATTTACAATTAGTATCTAAATTAAGGATTAAGTTTCGGTTTAAGAGATCTGATTAAGATTGGGTTGGGAAAAAAATCCCTCCTTTCCCCCTAATTCTAAATATTCTGTATTGGAAACAATTTCTAGGGTTCCTTTTTCTTAGATGAAAAATCAATTGTAAAATCCTTCAAAAGTGGATTTGAGTGGCTGATGGGAACAAGGAAATCAGCAAAATTTCAAAACCCCACCATTGTGCCATTGACATGTGGACCAAGATACTATTTATCCAACCTGTCAATGCCCAGTGGCTGGTGACCCTAAACTGATATAAAGACAACGATACACCAACAAATATTTCAAACAAATTGTTAACTTTTGTGTTTAATAAATTTTTAAATTTAAACTAAAAATAATTAAAGTTTAGTGTTGGATTAGATATAACTTTTAAGTTTATACTTAAATTATAACGGATGACTTTTATAAATTTAAATTAGATCGGCTCTTTGTCGGACAAAATTGATAATTTTATAAAACAATTATAAAAAACGTGGGAAATAATTGACTAAAAAAGTCTATAAAGTTTCATCTCATCATGATAGCTCACAATTTGTACCTAAAAAATGAATGATCCAAGATTAATGTAACATAAATATCTTTGTCCAATAAAATTTCGGCCAAATAATATCCTTTTCTGAGCATGTGCCCTTGTACCCCTAAAGGTAATGCATTAGGATATTCTATATTTACATTTATATATTAAAATTAGCTTCTCATATTTGCATTGGAATATTATATATTTAGAAGCTATATTAATATTGTCAAAATGAGTAGTGAGCATAGATTGGGCTTGTTATGGGCCTCTGGTGGTAATCCATGATAATTTGGGTCGGCCCAAGTTCAGTCAAATTATTTATGGGCCTGAACTGGTACCGGTATTGAATCCACAAAGCCCACATTAGAGTTTCAGCCCATTTTGACAGTTCAGGCGGTCTCTAATTTGGGCCCTACACACACGGGTCTGAAAGCCCATGAAAAATCATTAAGGTAAATATCATATTATACCCATAAAAATTGACATCAAAAGTATAGGGTTATGATTGATATTGTTCCAAATAATTAAGATGGAGTACAGTAAATGTGACAAGACCAGCAACAATTTACTGAGCTCTTTGCCGAAAAAGTCCATTGCTTTCTGAAGGGGGAAATTCTGTTTCCTTGAAAATATTTGGTGTGAACAGTAAAAAAAACATATTTTTAAAATTTGTTTTGAGAAAGTAAAAATGGATAAATAGTAACGGCAGAATATATCACTATCTTATTTATTAATGGTATGGGTAGCTGAAAAAACACTTTCTTTTGAAACTCGCATGATCTAAAACAGGAGCTTTTTAAAAGAATGGGTCAAATTTGTTGATTAATGATAATAAATAAATAATCAAATTGCTCTTGAATCAACACTGGTCATTGCTTAACTTTAAATTATAAAATAATTATAAGGGCAATTAGACGTGAAACTATCATTTTCAGCATATACAGTTTTTCAAAGAAATTGAGTAAAAACAGACATTATGGCGATGTTGATGGATGAGTAAGACTCCTAATTTTGAAGTCCTTGATGTTTGAGAATATGACTTGGCCATTTTTCTAAACAAAAATTAATTGCCACAATTGCCTCTCTATTCTCTTTCAATTCAGACATTTTCGTTTTGGACTTGCCTTCAAAGCTTTTGAAACTTGTTTATTAGGGACAAATTTCTACATTGTCATAAGAAATGTTTTGTTCTCTCTCCAACCAATGTGAGATCTTGGGCAATGTTTGGCTCTGATATTGGGACGATGTACCTACGAGGATGTCGAGTACCCAAAGAGGGTAGATTGTGAAATACTACATCGATTGGAGAGGAGAACAATGTGCTAGCGAGTACTCTGGGTCACCAAGGGGTGGATTAGGAGATCTCACGTCGATTAGAAAAAAAAAAAACAAAATATTCCTTATAAGAGTATGGAAACGTCTCCATGGATAATATATGCTAGCAGGGGGCTTAAAAGGTTGGTTACAAAGTTAAGGTTTATACAATATTTAGAATAAAAAAAAAAGGGTGGGGAAATTGCAATAGATTATGTTTAAAAAAAGGTGATTAAAAATGATGAAAATGGGTATGGATGAAAGAGTGGGAAATGATAAAATGAAAAGGAAAAAAAAGGAAAAAAAAAAAAAGGAAAAGGGGTCTTCTTTGTTTGGTTTGGTGATCGTCAAAAGCAGAATAGTGAGCATATGTTGGCGTGCGTATTCATCAATGTAATGTAATGGTTTAGAAAAAGAAAGAAAGGCAGAGAGAAGCAAAAAGTAGGATAGCAATGACGTACCAGTATAATTAAAGGTGTTGAACAGATGAAGAGTCATGGGAGAGGGAGTCAACAGGCAGATGGAGAATTCAATTCATCTTTATTTCTCAGTCAAAAGGGCAAAAATCTGAGAGCATGCAGATTTTTCAACACAAATTCTTCTGCCAATGGACAGTAAAAGAAGAAAAGAAAAACACAGCCTGTGACCTCAACCAACACAGACACAGACCCATTAGCATCATCATGCTGATGGATTTCTGTGATTCTACTGAAATTGGGAATCGAGATGGCCAACAAAAGAGAAACTCGTAGGCCCCATCCATTGTGCCTCAAAAGCAACGATGTTGCTGAAGAGTATCGAGTGGTTGTCTCTCTCTCTCCCTCCCTCTTCTACTTCCTTCTCATTCTCCTCCTTTTTATTCTCTGTTGGCTCCACTCCTCTCTTTTTCCGACCTAATCCACTTCCCCATTGCTTGATCTTACCCACAACTCCTCATCATCTACTACGCACACAAATAAAACCCACTCTTTCCTCAAGTTCAGCCCTTCATTTGCAAACCAAGACTTGTAGAGCTGTGAGTGAGCATGTTCTTCAAAGCTGTCTTTATGGGGTCCGGAATTTTCTAAAGGGTTGGTAAAAGTTCCTGCAGCTTCTATCACTCATATTCAAATGAAATGTCCATTTGAGCGTAAACTAAACGCTTACTTTGAGCCTTACTGCCCACTGAATCAGTCTTAACCACAGTGGAGAGTTTCTTAATTAAGCCCCATTCTTTCGTTTTCATTCTTCTTTCTCTTCCTTCAATTTGAATCAATAAATGCTCCTTATTCTTACAACCTAACTCGCTGTCCCTTCTCCTTAACAAAGCTACTTACTTCTCCCCCACATCCCACAAATCATATCGAAATCTCTCTCCCACCCCATTATTTGTTTACCCTTTGGATTTTCATCTCAGTTGGAAGGTTCAGATGTCAAGGAAAGCGAGCAAACGGGTCAGCTTCAGTCCCGATGTGAATGATAAGCCAACAGTCCTGCTCAAACACGGCGGCCGTGATGGCGGAGCCGGAATATGGAGCTTCGGCCTGAGCAGAGACACAAGGTACTTGCCGGTTAGGTTTCTACAGAGCCTCAAGGCCAAAGTAAGTGAAGCCATTCGCTTTGTATCAACAAGAAAATCTTCTCGAAAGGTTTCTTCAGCCTCCACCTCCACCTTTACAAGGTCAAGATCGGTCTCGGACTCCATGGACTCGCATCGAGCTGAAGCCATTGAAGATTGCATCGAGTTCTTAAACCACTCTTCATCTTTGTCCAGATCAAATTCAGTCTCTGGAAGTACGTACTGAAAGTTCTGTACTCATGGGAATGGAATGTGCATGTAAAATTTAGTCGATATTTTAGACATTCTTTTGCGTGCCCGTCTCTGTAAGATGATGCTTTAGCAGATGATAATAGAGTTTCTGCCTTCGAATCTCTGAAATTTTCTTGTCTAAATGCGTGAACACCAGAGATCTGTTCATTAAAAAATTACATAAATTGGATATCAACAAAATATCACTTGATCAGGTAAATAATATGCATAAAAGTTTACTTGGCTGAGTTGTTCTTGTTCAGTATTGTCCATAAAGGAACTGGATGGAACAACCACCGTTGACGGCCCAAATAATGGCATCTCCTCAAGGAGTGAATGGCCTAGACAGCACGAATCTCTCTGCGTGATATGTTTGGGCCATAAATTTTTAGAAGCCAACAGTTAGACAGGGATGAGTTAGACCTGTGAATTTGGAGGGCCACGCCTTTGAAGAGCTGAAAGATTCTCAATTAGCAAGCATGGTTGGTCAATTCTCAATCAGGGGACCCACCTGTAAAACCCCAGTTTGTCCAAACAATTGCAAAGGAGAAACATAGGAACATGCAGACCCACATGCAGTGCAATGCTTAATGGTATGCTCGAAATGATATTCCTTATTTGTTTTAGTTTGAGGTATGCATGGGGGTGGGGTTCATGTCCATGAAAATAATGAAGGGTGAGTAGTACTCGTGCGGGATAATCTCGGGCTAATCATAATACATCTCCATAATCATTATATTTTCAAACTAAAAGAATCAAAATCAAGATCCACAACAAAATAAAATTACATAAAGAGGACAGAGTAATCATCACATTAAACGAGAGAGAGAGAGAGAGAGGGGAGGGGGGAGAAATGATTGCTGTTTCTAAAAATTACCGGTCCATCCGAAGCCACTTTGTTGTGGTTATCTAACATTGAACAGCATAATCAGGAATCCGAGGAGAGTTTTTCAAGTTCTCGAATTCCTTGACTGGAAGCTTTCTTCATTTCAAGAGCCCTCTTGTAAGGTGGGGCGATAGGAGGCTGCACAGGATCTAAGCTCCGATAAGTTCCCTCGGCACCTCTGGGCAGTGGGTATGAACGGTCGGAGTCATATCCACTGAGGTCCCCACATGCAAGAAATGGGATGTAAACTTTATTGGGACCTTCCAGCCACCCACTACTGCAATCTGCGAGGGACACAATGTAGCAAAATAGCAATGCTATTACTTCCACTTGTGTAACGAAAAATACCAGGCAATTGACCACATCAAAATCAGCAAGGACACTAATTTTAAAATGCCTAAAGACAAGAAGACAGCTCGGTCATAGCACCAGCTGTAAAACAAATAAATCTTTAAAAACAGGATAGGAACATGTTTGATCTTAGGATGCGTCCATCCGTTGATACGTAAACACCCAATCAAGGAAGTACATTAGTTTACCTAAGTCATCTCCTCCTGATGGACTTCCCACCTTTTCCAGCAGGCGATGTAGATCTTTTGGGTTGAAACCTTCGGGAGGAGAATAGTTTTCACAGACTGCAAATGCCTCTGCATTCATATCCAATCCACATATGAGCTTCAACATGAACATAACGTTAAATCATAATCAGAACTTTGTTTAAAAGTCTTTACCGTGGATTCACCTAGGTGACTAAAAGAAATCAATGGAATGAATCGCAGATTTAGTTCAAGATTGTATCCACTTAATCCATTCAACTTTTAAATGCTCCAATTATGTTCTTGAACTCTTGATTTTGATCCCATTAATTTCCCATGGTTAACATTGTGGCTTAAATGTTTTCATGGAACGTTGATTAGACTAACGAATAATGATTTGATATGATATACCAACATGTGATATAAAAGAGAAAGCCAACTAGCTAAACTAAGGGCAGACAAACCCAGAAATTCAGTTTAAAATGTAATTGCTCCCATCGCGTCTTTTCGCATCTTCCATAATTTTGTTTAACATGCCTACTTCTGGTACATAATGCCAAATAATCACTTGCTGTTTTAAGCAAGAGATAAAAGAACGCTTGCTGGATGTAATTGGAACTTTTTCTAGTTCACGAACACAACCATGAAAGTTTAGAAAAATTTTACTTTTGCCCTGGACTATTTTGTCCTCTATTACATCTTTTTTATATTACAGATGTCACCACGAAAATGAGCTAACTCCACAATTTGCTGTTGGGTGGACACCAGTCCCACCACCTAGAATTAAACGATAACGATCTAAAGTTGATTTAAGGAATCCAAGTACAATGGGTATCTAAAAATTCATGCGCAAGAATCCTATGAACCAGACGCTATAAAGAGAAAAAGGCAATTTTCAATTAGGAGTATCATTTTCTGGAAACAAGTTCAATCATAACCGAAAGATAGACCTCTATAGCTACCAATGGAGAAAAAAAAGTGGGAAAACCAAAACGTTACCTATACTGGAATTGCGACTGCTTTTTGGTTTTGCAAAAGTCACTACAGGGAAAAATAACTTCAGCTGCAACAGAAAAACCCAAAAATGTAAAACATCATTGACGGCTCAATCACTTCATGTATGAAACAACAAACACCAATCTTTGATTAAGATCCTTATTTAATCCATGATAATACTTGACAAGTTTTACTAGTGCTAAACATATCTAAAAGAATCTATACGTCAATGCATTAATTATAAGGAACAGGAGCTCACAGGAAATTTTCCAACTTGACTGGAAAAAAAATGTAGAAGAGGAGAGATTCATATTGTAGATGCCATTAGTGAGAACACCATAAATTTCTTCGTTACCCGAGTATGCTACATGCTTTTTTAATTGGGTATTGTATAACAATCATTTAATATATACCTGACAATACAAAAGGCTGGTATCCTTTCCACGGAATATCTTTGCTATGAACTTACCACCTTCTCTGAGAACGTGAGTAACTATTGTTAAACCCTGCAAAGAAAAGGGGGAAAAAACGAGATGAGCTCAGTTACTTAAACCTTATGTATCTCCAACTATATTGAGAACTAACTCAAGGAAGAGAGAGAGGGAGGAAAAACGAGGCAGATCAGAGGACAGTGATGGAAGCAACAAAACTAAGTCCATAGAGGAAAAAGATCAAAGAGTGCAGGCAACATACAATAGAAAAACCCTTAGGATGCTTCAGTATAACCTCCTAATACAGCAACAACCATTTACCTACAGGATCTCAACTACTTTGCTCACTAGTTACACGTTATTTTCTATTTGTAGGTTCAAATAATTTGACACTCATTAGTGCTTCTCTTGTTGGTTTTAGTTTTTTATCCTTTCCACACAGTAAATGTGAGATGAAGCAACATCATTACTGTCAATGTGCATATATACCATGCATTTTCAAAATATCTTAAAATATTCATCAGCACTTTCTCGAGAAATTAAACAGTCTCTGCAGAAAACACAGCACTTACAGCTAGTATGAGCTGGGACTGAACAAACTCGTCCATGTCATGAAGACCAGTAACTACAAACAAGCACATAATCAGTAACAAAATATCATCAGGTGGAACCTCAACAGAGAATTCAAAAAACACAAGTATCTACCATCAGGTGCACCATCACAAACAACCAGGTCAGCCTTGCACCCATCAAAATGCCTAATGACCTGGTAAAATTAAATATTAGATAACCCATGCACAAAAACATATGACAATTTAGTATGTGATCAAATTGTTGAATAAAATAAAAGATTTCTAACACAACGTGAGCATTCATTCAAAGAGAAAAAAAATCCAGTATTGAGAAAAACATAGGAAAATTATCACAAATAGAAATTTTAAAACAAATTGACCATGTCGGTGGTGCATTAGGATCTGGATATGTCTTCGTTCACCACTTCAAATGTTAAAAAATACTTCGTACATGGTACACCCGGCTTACCACTTCAGCTGTCCTAGCATTTGTTATATCACCCTGCACTTGAATAACACCTTCAATTGGAGCCATCGGTTGTAAATCAATAGCAACAATAAGAGGATGATCGCCATCCCTGCAAGTTAAGTTAGAGAATCAATGAAAAGGGAGAAAACAAGGGGAAAACGGAGAGAAGGATGGGAAGGAAAAATTTACATTTTCATGCAATAATCTACCATAACTTACTTCGAATCAGGAGAAAGCTTTGCTGGGAGATACAATTTCCTACTAAGGACCTACATATGATTAGTAGGCGAGAAAATGTAAAGACAACTTGGAAATAATAAACCAAAATTAATTATATTTTTGTTCAATAGTTGCAGCAACACATACTGCATTGCTTTTATCAGCCTCCTTATATTTAGTGTTTTTCAAAACGTGAAATGTACTGAAGCATAATACTCCTATGAGTGTTAATATAAAAATACAGATAAAAATATATATTGTTCTGACAAATAAGATAATGAAAGTTTAAAAACAAGCTTTTATAAGAGTACTTAAAAATTAAGGAATTCGAGTTGTTTTCTTCCATTTTTCAAGAATACTTAATGTTATCATTACTTTTGAAAAGTGTACCAAAATGCAGGGTCAATGAAGGGAGGAGAGTATTGCACCCCATATGCAGGCATGTTTTTCAAAAAATGCTTACAATGCCTATCACTTGAAGAATTCTTGTTAGATTTAGTTGTTTTATATGAAAAAAAAAATCCCCAAAAAGCATTGACCACTAGTTTGATAAACAAATTGCAGCAAGAAAACGCCCAAGAAATTACCTGGCTCCAGCTACCGGGGGCTGCACATAAATCCACCACTCTCTTGACTCCTGCATTTAAAATTTCATGGTAGATGATAAACTTAGAAGCGTTTCAAATGACTTGTACATGATAAAACAGGTTGATTACAAAGGAAAATAAATCACACAGATTTCAGGAGGTTTCTAGAAAATAGTTCTGTCATGGAATCCAAAATGTTGCAGCAATAATTATTCTCATTCATGTCGACCATCTCAGTGATTGACATCCCAGCAGAAATGTAAGAATATTTCAATAGAGAGGAGCCCAATACAAGAACAAACCTTCAAATATGTTAAATTCGTCGTCTATCTGAAGAAGTTTAAATGCACTTCGAGCACGCCAACCTTCTTCTTTCGCTTTACGGTAGTATATATCCTAAATGAGACACAGTAAATAAAACTTGGAAATAGATAATGAATTATAAAGACAAATAGTCAAAGACAATAGTGCTTAAACCCTCTTATCTCTCGAAGCTTTGCCCATGATTGAAGAATCAAGCAAGAGTTTCTGGTAGTGTTGAGAAGACAGGCCTCCTGGTAACATTCAAACCCAGCATGAATGTTAAAGTGGGTCATCAAAGGAAGTCTTAAGTGTATTTAATAAATAAAGTATGAATCCTCAACCCAAAAAAATAAACAAATTTTGGTATAGAGCCAACAAGCCTTGCAACAACAATTCAATTGGAGCATCAAATTCCTTCTTTCCAGAAATATTTGCCACATTCGTGGTTAAAATCAAAATAGAGCAAAAACATCTAATTAACAGATAAGGCTCCAATTGATAACCATGGGGTTTTTTGTTTCTAAATTTTGAAAATTAACCTTATAAGAATTGCTTCCACTCATGAGTTTTTTTTTTTTTTTTTTTTTTTTAATCTACTTTCTAACAATTTTTTCAAAATTCATGTCAAGTTTTGAAAGCTATAAACAAAAATAAAAATAAAAACTTGTTTTTACTTTAGGAATTTGGTTGAGAATTCAAACGCCACCTTACAACAGATGATGAAGCCCATTGTAAAGAAATTGTGAGAAAACAGAACAATTTTCAAAAAGTAAAAAACTAAAACGAAATGGTTATCAAACAACGCGTAAAAATTCCAGATTAGAACACGCTATGCGGTGTGCTCATAAACAACTCTAAGAACTAGCTATACAATCTTCACCTCAGAGTACCACATCCTACGGTTAACGTTTACATGGATAGCGTAGAGATAAATGAAATCTTGATCAGGCATTTCATCGAACATCTAACATGCCTCGGAATGTACAGAACTTCGACACCCCTCCTCCGACAACTGCTTACAATCGGACACACCCAGAAACAATTCTCTAACTCAGAGAATTAATATTATTTCCGTCATATCTGATGTCAACTTCAAGGGACAAGTTGTAAAGTTATCAACAACTAACTACACAAACAAACTACTAGTTACAACTCAACCAGTTGCCAACTAATTACAAGTTGATTAGTTACACAATATAACAGCAAACTAATAGGTCTAACTCAGCCAAACTTCATGCTGCGACGGATTGAACACTAGATATTATAGAAAGAATTAGGGCAAGCGGGAAAATATTCGCACAGCAGTTAAAAAAAAAAAAAAAAAAAAAAAAAA